ACATGAAACAGAGGAACGTCACCGACTACGTACCTTATCGTTCACCCCTCAGGCAGAGCTGCGGAAGGCTGTGGGCTCTCTTCAGCCTGCAAAAGTGGACGCATACGATTTTCAACGCAAAGAAGGCAAATACGTTTTCCTCTGCTCTTCCAACCACCTTTATCACTGACAATATTAGAATTATACTCTTTATTTTTAAATTTATGTAGAGATAGTAGGCAATTCCATATTTTAATTTTCAAATACTGATATACAATTAAATTATTATCTATTCCTTTTCTTTTTTAAGGATTGTTAATATTTTTTTCTGTTTTTCTTTGTACATAAATCATACCATCATTGTTATTATTTTTCTTTAAGTTACTATAATAATTTAATTTTTTGCAATTTTTTGTCTGCTAGTTTTTTTGGGTAATTATTTGTAGAAAGTTTTTATTAAATTGTTTATATTATTGCTACGAAAGATAATATCATTAAAATTTAATTTTTATCTACAAAATTATATAAATTTGTATTTGGATTTTTATACCAATCTAAAATGAACTTTTTATTATTTTTTACATTTGGAAATGGGATATAATTTTCTTTTTTTCCATTGTGGTCTTTATTTAATGATTTATGCTTCATTAAATGATTTTAAAACTTTTTCTTTATCCTGCTTGAGATAAAAAATCATACCGGCATTGTTAGTACTTTTCTTTAAGTTACTATAACAATTTAATTTTTTTTCCAATTTTTTCTGGTAGATTTTTGGGGGAATTATTTGCAGAAAGTTTTTATTAAATTATTTATCTTATTGTTAGGAAATCTAATATCATTAAATTTTAAATTTTTATCTACGAAATTATATACATTATTTTTTTGTTTTATTGAATGTGTTATTCTGTTGGTTGTATTTGAATTTTTATACCAATCTAAAATGAAATTTTAATATTTTTTACATCTACAAATGGGATATAATTTTCTTTTTCTTTTTTCATTGTGATGTTTTTTACATTATATGCTTCGTTAAACGATTTTAAAACTTTTCCTTATGGCACTGGCAAAGCTGTGGAGGCTGATTAATGAAGCTGACCAGTGAGCTATAAAAAAAAAAAAAAATAAATAAATAAAAAAAAAACAGGGGAGCACAATAGATCGTTTCAGGTCGAGGTGCAGTAGGTCTTGAGGCCGCCTCTTTTATCCCTATCCCTATAAAAACAAAAAGGAAAGCCAACAATTTGTATAAATTATTGAAAGGTTTGTTTAATTACATTTACACATTATGTAATATTTTATCTCCTGAATTATGTTTTTTTAATGTTAATCTATGTTTCATTTTTCTATGTAAAATTAAATGTTCTAATGTCACACTGAATATGGCCCTAAAATAAATATTTATTTGAGGTAATTAGTTTCAAAATTGTCTCAATCCATTTTCAAAATTTAATATTTTTTTTTACAGAAGACAAAAAATATTTTAGAGCCATGAATTATGGTTTAGATTTTGTAATTATTTTTTTTTTTTGGGAGGGGGGAAGAAAGACACATCTCCATACATTTAAGATTTAATTTTAAATATTGTATATTTGCATTTCCAGGTTGCAAAAAATTTTAAATTTAAATGTTGGATTGAACCAGTTTTGAAGAATCTGTGTAACTAACCAATTATTTTGGTAAAATAAGTCCAAATTACTCTTGATTTATTGGTTCAATTCCCATCTATTTCCATAAATCTAGTTACAATAAAAACAAAACTATATTCTTACTTCTTAAGTAGGAAAAAATTAAAAAGGAAATTAAATTTTTATTGGAGAAAATAAAAAATGCCCAGATGGTGAAGATTGGACTGAGCTGATGATTTAAGACCCATGAATTTGGTCGCATTTTTGTACTGGATTGATTCACTTTTGTTCCAAACAAAGCATAGAGAACTTTAACAACTTTCATTTGTTTTGGGCCAGAATTTCAATAAAATATATCAATTAAATGTGATTGATATGTTAAAGTATTCATAGCCAGTGACTATCGAGGTTTCTTTTTACAAACATGCAGTTTATTAAGGAGTGAGTATTTCCTTTCTATTTATATTTACTAAAGCATAATCTACTCAGCAATCTCAAATAAAAATAAAAATATTTATAATTCAAGTAATCAGCACTTCAACTTATTATTGGAAAAGAGTTAAATTATTTATGTTCAATAACAACCAATACACCGATACAGTACTGAAGGAGAAAACAGTTAAAATTGTTAGAAAATGATTGTTCTGAATTAGCAATTTTACCCCTAGGGCTACTGTTACTTATATATAATATTTATTACAATTAATTAAGGTTTTTTTTTAGTTGAGATAAAAAAGTCAATGGCACGAGCGGGATTTGAACCCACGATCTTCGGCTAGATACGCCGCTGCTCTACCACTTGAGCTATCGTGACCTTGATCCACTCGGACACTAACTTCCCATCTCAACCCCACCTTTTGAATTGAAGTGGATTTAGGTTACGATAGCTCAAGTGGTAGAGCAGCGGTGTATCTAGCCGAAGATCGTGGGTTCGAATCCCGCTCGTGCCATTGACTTTTTTTTATCTCAACTAAAAAAAAAACAACCACCTTAATTAATTATAATATATTAATTGGTCAAGCGGACCACGAAATTAGTGAATATACTATTTATGTTAATATGGGTCTAAATAATTGGTTTGACAAAATTGCCGGTCTAGAATAGCCATTTCATCCCAAATTATCTTATTTCCATTATTATTATTACATAATTGATCATTATTCTAATATTTATGTTATGTTATTTATGATGTTAAATAAAAGACAATGTAAATAATTGGTACTGCTTTAATATTAAAATATTTCTAGTTAATCAAACTTTCAAGAAATAAGACATTTTGCTGTAAGTGTTAGTGAGGATTTCTCTCTGTTATGTCTACCCAAATTCCACCGACAGGTACAAGAAATAATGTCTTTGGATCATACTGAAGTGGTGTTATCGTCTTCTTGTTCAAGCTCACTCTGTAATTCATCAGTATTTTGGCCAAACCAGTTTTTATTTCCATCCTCGCGAATCTCATTCCTAAATAAATAAACATTTAAATACTAATTTTTAAATAATATATTATCTACAGTACCGATGCAGATCCTAGGCCCATCGCCAAATGGCAGATAAGTCCCTTTCTTAATCATACTCTTGTTTTCCTCTGAAAATCTTTCAGGCATGAATCGCTCCGGATCAGGGAAGTGTGCACTATCATGGTGAAGTGAATAAATAGGAACTAAAACTCTACTATTTTTCTCTAAAACAACAGAACTATCTGGTATTCTATAAGGNTGTAAGCGACGCCCAAATTCTTCCAGTAATTGTATGTCGACTTGCCATAGTAATAAAAAGCTAGAAAGAAAATACAAATAATTAAAAATTTAACATTAAACAGATCAGTAAGCGACTCCATCGTATTATCTACTAGCTTGAAACTGACTCAGCTGCCGGTTTTAAAGCAAGTATTGTTGTTGTTCTGTCATAAAAGAAAATTTTTGCTTTATCGTCGTAGTAAACACAAGTTAATTGCTTAAACAGATAATATACTGCAAATGATGGGTAAAACTTCAAAGAAAACGAAAATTACTGTTGAAATTTTGTCTAAAAATATTGAAATATTTATGTAACAACCTACCTGATCTAATATAATATTATTATTGGTTTAAAAGAGGCTTAATCTATAGGCTTGGTAAAGAATGATTTTGCATTATTATAGGAGTAGACACACTCGATATTTGATAGTCTTCAAAAGTTTACCCAAAATTATAAAAGCAAATTTATATACATTTGTATAAATTATGTAATATTTTATCTCCTGAATAATGTTTTTTTTATGTTAATCTGTTTTATTTTTATATGTAAATTAAATTTTTTAATGTCTTACTGAATTTGGCCCCAAAATATGTATCATTTGAGGCAATTAGTTTCAAAAGTGGCTCAACATTTTCAAATTTTTTTTTGCACAAAAAAACATTTTAGAGCCATGCATTATGGTTTAAAATGTACAGATATTGACAGGCTGCATTTTAACCTTCAAATAAAAATTTGTACAATATATTTTTGTAGACACAAATTAATTAATTATTTTTGTTATTTATGCTAATTGTGGCAAAATTAAATGGTTTACCTTGATAGAGTTTGTTGATAAAGTAAAGAACACTTAAAATTTTCAGGTGATATTTTCACCCCGATTTCGTGGTGGCTATGCCTTAGATTTAAAAAAAAAAAAATGAGAACACTAAGTTTTTGCAGAAAGTGTGAAAAACTGGAATTTTTGTCAACTCAATAATTCAATTAACTAAAGTTTGATTGCACTGCCATCTTATATGGAAATAATTTAAAATTTTGTGCATATTAATTAAAAAATGTATCAATATTACACGTATAAATGTGCATCTAAAAAGCAATTCTTTCAAACAGCCTGTCACATCAACACAAAAATTACTAATTAAAAAAAAAAAAAAAAAAAAAAAACAGGTTTACAAATACTTTTGACAATGAAATGTCTTATTTAAATAAGGAGCCTCTGAATGACACATAGGTCCGAATAATTTTGTGGCATGAGCCACATTAAAAAAAAGAACCGCAATCTTGTGATTCTAGCGAAAAGCTACTCTGGGAAAACACCCAATAGGAAACGCGAACAAAAATACTACCAAAAACAAGTACAAGAATGTCCAAGACACCGATGCCCCTTTGTATCATTATATTTTTTATAATTTATAATTGTTACATAATTTATGTAAAGTTTGGAGCAAATAGTTCGTACCGATACAGTTTATTGATAAAGTCAAAAACACTTGAAATTTTCATGCCAGAAGTGACATTTTCACCCCCAATTTTTATATATAATCTCGTATATTCTATATTTTCGTTAGTTATGTATTTGCCAAGTTTCATTGTCTGTTATCAAGACCCTCCCTGTATTCTCTAGCTAAAATAAGTGAATAAGGATGATGAAGTCTGCTGAAATTAAAAGTCTAAAACTTTTATTCTCTTACTGCTTTTATAATAACAATAAAATTATAGTAATCAATTATAGTACATGGCAGTTTAGTTATAACATTTCATTTAATATTTGGACCTTAAATGAAGGAATTTTGTTAAGGAAAAGAACATTTTTTATTACCAACGATCTCAGATTATGTATGGTTCAACATTTGTGGAATAAAAACAAGCATTGTGGTTGTTACTGATCATTTTGGTCTGTACATCGTTGCTGGTCTGGTTTTGCGCACAGGCAGAGCAAAATTATCAGCAAGAAACATTACAAGCTCATTCTGCCTGGAAAAAATTCAGTAAAAATAGTAGATCTGGTTATTGAGAGATGACACGATGCCTGGAAGCACAGACTGAAGAGCTGGGAGACAAACAGACGTACCTTATGTATAAAAACACATTGTCTTAAACGTATGAAATGAAGATTGAAAAAACTATGGAAAAGTTTGTCTCCCAGTAGCTAAACATGCTCAGAGTCTGTCTCCCCCACCCATCCACCTTGTAGGCTGTATTGAAATAACAATTTTATTTGCAAATATATTTCGAATGTACATAAAATAATATCGAACATGAATAAATTCAAACGTAACATTAATTATTGCTGTGGACATCAACGTGAATGTGAAATTTACAGATTGGCATCGTCTCAACTTCAGCCGTCACAACCGAGTTGATGCCGAGATTTGCCAGCGCTCCACGAACAAGCCCTGACGTGAAAGCGATGTACAAAGGCGCTACGTCCAAATATTGATTCTTCGACGATATCTTGTCCATGAACCTGAAAGCATTATCCTGAAGTACGAAGACCCCTTTGTGGTTCGTTCTCAGGTTGTCGATGGGCTTCAGGTAAACCGCAGGCCACAGTTCTGTGCATATGTATTTGACGGTTTCGAGTTCGTCTTTAAACCTGGGCGTATCCTTGGTGATCCTTTCGATTATCCGGAAACCCGTGTTAAAGCCGAAATACTCCAGGGTTGAGAGATTGCCCTCCTTGACTCCGTGCTCCTTCACCTCAGTCTTCGCCACATAATTGACCAACTCCCCGTGCAACAATTCAAGGAGGATTTCGTCCGCGTACTGCATGACAAATGGTTTTCTCACTTAAAAATTTAATAATTCATCAACTATACGAACATCATCTTGTTTTGACGACTACAGGTTCAAACTTCAAACTTTCAAAGTCAAACTGGGAGGTTAACGACTGGTTCTCTTATCTTAGTCTTATCAGGACTCCTTATCATTCAATTCCATGTTTCTTCTTCCTTCATACCATTAATGTTACATATTCATTTACATTTTAATATTCTATGCCTTAGAGATTTTTAAAAAATGAGAATACTAAGTTTTTGCAGAAAGTGTGAAAAACTGAAATTTTTGTCAACTCAATAATTCAATTAACTAAAGTTTATGATTGCACCGCCATCTTATATGAAAATAATTTAAATTTATTAATTAAAAAATGTATCAATATTACATGTATAACTCTGCATCTAAAAAGCAATTCTTTCAAACAGCCTGTCATATGAACTCCAAAATTACTAATTAATTAAAAAAACAGACCTACAAATACTCTTGACATTAAAATGTACTATTTAAAAAGGGAGCGAACCAGCCAATGGTATGTAACAAGCATGTAAAACCATTCAAAATATCCTTGTTTTTGGTCAAACCAGACATCTTAGGAAAATATCTGTGGAAAATTTACATGATCATAAAATTTATCTTATTTTTTTGTTCATAGGCCTGAGTCTTTCCGATAGAAAACTTCACGGCCAAGTCGTGCCACTTAGTTGTTCACTTACACTCACTTTAATTTTTTTTCTCATTTAAGCGTCAAATGCAAGCAGAGAGGCACAGTCAGTATTTTTGCATCAAAATTCAAAGTGAAACTGAAGAAGACAAAAAAAGTATTTAAACATGTTTGCGAAGTGGTTTAATCAAAATCTAGGAATTCAAGACAAAGAAGAATATTAAAAAGGGAACAAAACATAGGGGAAACACCACTGTGTTTATCAGGAAAACATTTATTTTCAGGAGGCTGCTGTTCGCTTTTGCGAATGTTTTGGTGTCAGAATATAGTTGAAAAAGCTGTCTGCATCTTTTATGCGAGTGTCTGCTTTATAGAAAATTTAATATGAGGAAACTAATGGGAAAAGCGCTGGGGAAACAGCATTTGGAAGTTTCACTGTATTATCTTATGTTCAAACTCTAGAATTAATTTACGTACTGTGGTTGTTGTCTGAATGGACTGGTGGGGCTTGAGTACTCTTCTGATGAAGGTATCGTGGCTTCTTTTTTGATGCTGCTACAGCTGTTACTGCAGCAGCTGCAGCAGCAGTCATGGTTTGGGAAGGCGCAGCTGAACTATTTCTTTCCGGGCTCTGAACTGGTCTGAGTACCAGTCTGGACTTGTTGCCTCGTGCCGTTTTCAGTCTTCGCCCCTTTCGAGGTTCCATGATAAAAGTTAATATTCATAAGAAAAATATTATGTCGCGAGATCCATAAGTGCAGATGGGCAGGAAATACCAAAAGATTTCATGTACACAACTTGCAACACTTATACACAGAAGAGGACACAAAATAAGATGATTTTATCTGTGTAACTTTCAATTTCAGGAAATTTTGAATGATTTTTTTTTCTACTCGATTCATGTAAAGGAAATTATTGTTAAGCATAAAAGTAATCTATGCATGTATGTAATATATAATTGTGTATATACAGCGTATACTATTTAAAAGATTTAAAATCATTTATAATTGTTATTATAATTTTATTTTTGCTTAATCAGTTTATAAAAATGGTAAATTATGAACGTACAGGACTAATAAATTATTGGGGTGGTGGGAGAATGAATACACATAGATTGAAGAAAGAACCAACATATAGGAAAAATACTGAATTTGTTAACAAAATTTAAATTTAAAAATGTTATGTATATTTAGTTTCTGCAAAATATAGAGATGTTACTTATTTTATAAAACTATACTAAAAAATGAAATGGAAATAGTACTAACTACTACAATTATTGACTTACAAGGAGGTGGAGTCTTCAGGATGAGCTGAGGTTGTTGACCAGCCACATAGGTATCATATCATATCTGAACGACACATAGGTCACATTGCATATTCATTTACATTTTAATATTTTAATTTATTGATTTATATAAGCTCAAAACTGCACTTGTTGATATGTATGTACACATGTACCGAATTGAGCATATCACTTTTTGCAGTCAACCTGCAATTCTAGATTTTATAGTTTACAATAAATTACTGGCAGGACTCGAGAATCACCAACTTTAGGTGTGGGCAGTCAGGGGTACGATCTCGGTCTTATGCGTCTGGCCCCTGAGGTTGGGCTGCGGGCGTTGTCAATTGAGCATCCAATTCACACTCTCAGTCATTCTTAAATACGTTCTTTCCAATTTATTTACCATTCACTCAGAGTTGTTGAGTAGGTGTTTGATATTCCTCAATAACCCTGTTTTGTACATTTTTGTTCTTTTATGAGGGTTTGCGACAGCAGAGGTCATATCAACCCTCAGGGTGCTAGTGTTTTTGAAAAAAAAAAGCCCATTTGTAAGTCTGTCAGGTTCACATGGCCGCTGGATTCAAACCTGGGACCTTTACCTCACAGTGCGCTGTGTCAACACCTAAACTGTTATTGCCACTGACACCTCCATTGTATAATTTATTATATGTTTTACTATTTGTTGGCGCCAGCCATCTCATTTTTAAATATACTTTGTTTTGGATTATTGTAATCCCTAATCCTACTCCCACGCTCCTTGCAAACCCAGTCCTGTTCTACTCATACGAAAGAAAGTGTCCTTACGCCTCTCTTTAATCTCGTATGTTTCTCTCCTTTATTAATTTAAAAAGATTCAAAATAACGCGAATCTCCAAAAAACCCTCTGTGCTGCTGCATCGATCTCTTCCACCTGAATTCATCGGATATTCTGCGACGAAGTCAGAGGAATCGGGCCCGAGCTCCCTACACTTCGTGCAGCCGGCATCTGAAGGAAGGTGGTAAGTCCCCTATGAATTTCTCCCTTATTTTATTTTAATTTAGATTTTTCTTAAATTTATTTTATTAACATTTCATTTTTTTTAATTATTTTTTTTTTCTTACACGGCATTGGGCGTAACACTATTATTATTAATTTTTAAGGGTGTTTTAACAGCTAAGGTCATTTCACGCCCTAACATCCAAACCTTCTATCTTAGGTTAGCTATATCCCTTCTGAGTGCTATGAAGCTCTGACTCCAAACATTCACTCATAAACTTATTTATCCTAATTTTTTTTTTTTTTGACTGGGCTTTCCGACATCATTTCAGCCCCCAACTAAGTCTGTATTCTATTTACACTTTCAAACACTACATTCATACAAATAAATACATCCATACAATACACTCTTTTCGTTTGGTCGGTGGAGTACTTGATATTCCTCCACTGACCTATATTCAAACTAATCTAGATTGGGGTCGATGGAGTATTTTTATAAATACTCCGCCATCGACCCCGAACACACACTCATCCGCTCTCAACGTTCAAGGGGCGATGATGACGTTATATTTCACCCTCACCCCTCGCCATTCACGCTAATAAATACAGGCACTCAGATAAAACATAGACACACAACATATAAGACATATTACAATAAAAAAAACCAATTTCTCCTACAAATTGGAACAGGGGACTCTGAAACTCGCTGCAGTGCTCGAGTACCATCTTCAGATTGGATGGCATGCCTACATGCTCCCTGTCAAGGCATGACATGTTTCCAGTATGTGGGACACATCGAGCAACCTTTCTCTGTATAAGGGGCACCTGCACGGGCTTTGGCCCAATTTATCCTATTGCCATCCAAAGCTTTAATTTATTCTTTTAAAATTCTTAATTTGGAACGCCAAATGTATGCAAAAATCTCATTTTAAATTACATATAAAATTTATTCCTGTTTTTTTTATTAGAATTTTGTATTTTTGTTCCTTAATTTAAACATTTCCTATAGGCTTGTATGGCTAATAATTAATTAAGGTTTTTAGTTGAGATGAAAAAAAGTCAATGGCACCCACGATCTTCGGCTAGATACGCCGCTGCTCTACCACTTGAGCTACCGTGACCTCGATCCACTCGGACATCAACTTCTTATCTCAACCCCACCTTATGAGTTATCCCTCCTTTTTGCCATTTCCCTCGTGCCATTAACATTTTTTCATCTCAACTAAAAACCTTAATTAATTGTAATGTATTAATTGGTAAAGCGGACCATGAAATTAGTGAAAAAAATAATAATATTGGAGTCAGATTAGCAACAGTCTCAGCATGAGTATAGGCTCATACTTATTCTTTTATTCTGCCATTCAAATATGATAAATAAACTAATGCTACATAACAATAGTAATAATAATAATACTCTTTGTGTGTGTGTGTGTGTGTGTGTGTGTGTGTGGAGCTAACTTTCTTATTTAAATTGCGATTTTGGGCATTTCAGTTTATTACCCCGCAATTTGTATTTTCTTCCATTTCATGTTTCCGCTCCGGCAGCCTCAAAAATTTCTGAAAAAAAGAAGAAATCTTGCACGCACAACTCTCATTCAAACATTAGCAGGCAAACAATTTGGGAAAAGGCGTAAATCTCATTATAAATTCCAATAAATTTGAGAAAGCTGAAAAGTGCTCTTCGAAAGAATCACTGGGGACCCACCCAGTAACTCCTGTAAATCACTCGAAAGTTAAGCCTTTGCCTAAAAGTCGACCAAAATATGTTTTACGTCAGAATGATACGTTCTCCACTCCGCATACTTCGAGGACAAGTTGGAAAATTGTTGCCTATTAAAAGCCTATTATGAATTAGCCTGATTCGCCTACTCGCAATTAGATACTATTATTATTTTTATTATTATTATTTTACTATTATTTATTTTATATAATTAAATTTATTTTTAAGATATGTACAATGTAAGGGGGCTTAAAGCCCTGTTTGCACCTATAAAAAAATCAAAGACCTTCTTCCATATTTTTCACTCATAATTATCTTCATTCTGGTATCATCCGACTCCGGAAAATTGTTAATAACATTATTCAAAAGTTTCCAGAAATATAGATATATTCAGTAGTTCTTTACAAATTGTTATATCATATTCAAATAATTAGATTTGACAATTGACTTTTTTATTATAATTGGAAGTTTTATTTGTTTAGCAAAATTAAGATTTGTTCTTATTGCTTATTATATAATAA